TACTTCCTTCATTAAGGTCTGACAGGGAAAACTGATTACTTACTGTGGTGTTCCCAGAATTAATCAATACTGGCTGGCAGTAAAAGAAATTGGATTTTTCTGACAAGCTTCACTGCATAAGAGGAAATTGGTTTGGGGAAATTAGATTTTTCTCCCATATTTTGCTGGATAGAGATATGCATCAATACATAAATTCTCTATATAGTGGTCTATGCCAGTAAATAAATACAACTTTCTCACTGAGAAAATTTACTCTGCGGCTGTACTTAGCTGCAGCGTCAAAAGAAAACAAGGATTATGATAAAATACACAATCTAAATTACATTTTACTGCGTGCTCCTCTAAATATGCAACTAAAATTGGTGATAGTTAAAAGGGCAGAGAAAATCATAGCGATCAATTCTAAGGAGAGCGTCTTTATCATATTGCAACCAGGGCCAATAGTTTGAGACATTTTACCTATAACCACGAGAAGAAAGCAAACTCAGGGCATTACCAAAGAAAAACAGATTATATGTCAATCCGTCCTACAGCTGTCAGGATATTTCAGCAGACCAGCAAATAGACTAACGATGTCCTAAAGCCCCCATTCCATAGAAGTTACACACCAATTAAATCCACAATGATTACACGCCCACAGTGATATTGCTAAAACATTAATGCAAAGTGTAAACATAACCACGATCACCCGCTTAGTTAAGTGTCTGTGCATGCTCGAGCTTGCTAACTAGGAACTACGACCAAGGCTGTCAGGCATCTTATTAGGTAAATTGTTGTAAAACAAAAATATTGTACCAGCTGAAGTTTTACCATATATTTCTGTGAGATGATAAAGTCTTTATTCCAGTCTGACTTAGAAATACATTTGCACCAAACCAATTTCTTAAAAAGTACTAAAAACATTTAAAATGTGCAAAAATGTTTACATCCAGTGGTGCTAGAGGAAAAGTCGGGGCATGACCAAAATAGCATCTGAGAAGCATTTTCTCCTAAATCTGTATGTAAGACATCTTACCCTGTAAGGGATAAACATCATCCGCTGACAGTGTTGCATTAAAATGCAGGTCAATAGAACTTATCCTTTGGGGCACCATTTATTTTAAGGTTCCCAAAGGATTTCATGGTAATGCATCCAACGGTTATGAATTTTGACTGTGGAAAATTACGACCCTACAAACGTCTCTCTCCGTGCAGCTGTAAAATAAAGCTTCCAATACTCTAAGGATGCCTGAAAGTTGATGATGCAAAAAAAGCAGCTGTTATTATTTGGCCGTAGCCACTCGGAGCATGACAGACTCTACGACTGTAAAGGTGTTTTTTTTAAAGGTATTGTAGTTAGGCATTTCTTTTTAGATTTTACAACTGTAAAGGTATTTTTATGACCTCAAAAATGACATAATACTTTATTGTTACAGCTGAAGTGGCTGAGGCTGGATTATATGGCATTGTTGTGAAACAAAGACAATTTAAAGTTCCTTCTGATGGATGATGTTTATCATACTGGTGTTTCAAGCTCACCTCATAGGCCTTCTTGTGGTCAGGATTGGCTTCACAGTTGAGAGACTCATCACCTGCCAAATCAATGGCAACCACTCCCTCATCCTTATATTTCTTACACAGCTTCACAACATCCTTTGACCAGCCTGGAGAATTTGAAACATACATGTGTTACCAAACAGCTTGGTCCTGCTAACTGATAGCACACATGCTAAATGATACATAAATGTGACGACATGATTAATCTTCTTTTATGACAAGTTCAAGACAACTTTAATGAACATTCATAACTGTATTCACCTGGCTGATAATAACAGAGGTTTTGTTCTTAATGAAACAGTCTGTAAAGTCAATGTGAAACCAGTGCCAGCAACATGTGACCTTTGTAACCTTTGAACATACAAACGTGGTTGCTCCATGCTGATCTCCTGGTTTTATTATTATTGCAAAAACACTGTGATGTCACTTTTCTTATCTAATGTTCAGCATGAAAGCAACACATCCTGTCTGTTATTACTTCACTGATATATATTCTACTTTTACATAAATCTAAAGTTACAGTTACATAAGTATCCACTGTAACTGTAAGCATAAACTACTCTACCTGCATGCTACAGCTTGTAATGCATCTGTATTTGCTGTCTGAACCATAACAAATTCAGATGTCCCGTTCACAAAGTCACAAATGAAAATAAAATGTAAACAGTTTCAGCCTGTTTTTGTGAGAGTTGTACTAGAAAATGCACGATGGCAGATATGACTTTCACTTGGCAGTTATACCGGAAACAGCTGCAGGAACGGAGCAGAGCAAAGGACACATCGCTACGATCAGTGCTGCTGCTAACGGTAACTGCTCATGTTACCTCAGTTAGAATTACTGATACAGCAGTTTGAAGTGTGTACTTGTGCAGATACTAGCAGCACTCGTTAGCCCTCTCCTGTGAAAGCTGTGGATCTCTAATGCTTTTTTAAAAATATAATCCTTGATGTTTTATTGCCTCTAAATACAAGTAATATTGTTATTTTCTTTGATGGCCAAAAACCTCAACAAATGTTCAGTGATCAAATCCTTCTGAGGATTAATCCTAATTACTTTGGAACTATTTAATCAATAACCACTGAGAGAAAATACCAAAACCTGAGGCTTTCTCATTACCCTCAGATATCCTTTTAAGTGCTAATTAGGGAACGTTTATCTATGATCATCAGTTCCTCCATTT